AGGTGTGAGACAGGGCCCTTCACTTCTCTGAGTCTTGATTTCCTTATTTGTAAAATGAAGGATAATTAAATCTACCTTCACTGGTGTGAAGATTAAATGAGGTAATTATACATAAGGGCTTAATACGGTGCATGGCATTTAATAAAAGTCCAATCAATGGCAACAGTGATTAACACCAACCCCACTGGGACGTCTGTAGATTAGCAAACAAAAAAGTCTTCGTGGTATCTCCTTAACAGATGAATCTGTCATAATGACATTTTATATTTGTTCATTTTAACTATCAACAAGCTATACATGCTCATCAAATAAAAATAGCTGACATTTATTGAGTACTTGGCACAAGGCAGGTACTGTGTTACGCACTGAACGTGCATCATCTTATTCGATCCTTGCTATTCTGATGGTCAAATTAGAGCTAGAAACTGAGGTTCAGGGGGGCAAAAGACTGTGCTTCAGGCCCCACAGCAATCAAGTGATCACATCAGAAGTCGACAGGCTCTTTAATGACTTCACCAGGCCACCTCCCAGTGCAGGTCAAGTTGGGCATCCTGGTGACATGGCAGTTGTAGCCTCGGAGAAAGAGGAGCTTGTGTGAGCTACTGCTGGTGCACCACTGGCCTCATTCCCCATCCCTAAATGCTGGCAGGGCACCTTCCACGTGTCAGGCACTATGCTGGTAAGCTTTTTGACTATAATGAGCAGAGACTCATTTTGCTCCCTTTAGTAATGGACATGGTGGCGGTGAATATAAAATATCTCATTAAAAAGAAAAAAAAAAAAAGGTATTCTCTTGGTCAGGTGGCCATGCCTTATAAAAATTCAGGGAAAACCGAAACCCTGGGCCTTATGGCAAATCAGAGTACTGCTCCCAGTCAGGCCTTGTGGAGCACGCGAATGTTGTTTTTAAATTGGATTATCACTGTCCACCTTTAAGAATTATAGAAACAGTTCTCTCACCTGCAACAGGAGCTCAATGTTCTGTACACCACTACCCCCAACCCCACCACCCCCACTACCCCCATCCCCCAACCCCCCTGCTACTAAGACTTAATTACTCTCTCTTCCTGTTTGTGTTCCTGCAACCAATCACTAAGCCTCTTGACCTGTGCAGAACTCTCCGAGGAGAAAAATTGCTGGGCTTGGTTATCACTGCTATGGGTCCCAGACCAAGGTGCTGGGTTAGGCCCACCCATGGCTGCCCTTGGGTGACTGCACTTCCCTAGACCTCTGAGCTGCGGTTTGGGGTCGGGGGTGGGGAGCTAGTAGTAGGTGCAGAGCCTGGCCTCTAGACATGCCCAGTCTGGTGCTCACCAGTTCATCCTGGCTTGACCCAGCTGTCCCCTCGCCACAACTCAGCAGACTTTCATAATCAGCAGCAGCACTGTAGTGGCTTCAGATAGCTGTCATCTCTCCGCTTCACTGGGCCTGGTATCCAGGAGAGCTTCCTGCCATCCCTGGTCCCTGCTATGACAGTGGCTTGCACAGGCTGCCGTAAGCCTAGAGGTGAGAGCTCCTCACTTCACTCAAGTCACACCTCCCAGGTGAGGCCTTTCTGTTTACTCAGTTTAAAATGCCACTCGCCCTGCTGTCACCCAGACGTCCTATCTTGTTTCCCTGTTTTATGATTTTTTCCTTATCACTTCTCTAGCTGTGTATTTCAGTACTTTGTTTATGGTATGTCTTTGTCCTCTAAATTGTAAGTATTCAAGAAAGTCCCGGCCGGGCACGGTGGCTCACGCCTGTAATCCTAGCACTCTGGGAGGCCGAGGTGGGTGGATTGCTCAAGGTCATGAGTTCAAAACCAGCCTCAGCAAGAGCGAGACCCCCATCTCTACTATAAATAGAAAGAAATTAATTGGCCAACTAATCTATATAGAAAAAAATTAGCCGGGCATGGTGGTGCATGCCTGTAGTCCCAGCTACTCAGGAGGCTGAGGCAGGATTGCTTGAGCCCAGGAGTTTGAGGTTGCTGTGAGCTAGGCTGATGCCATGGCACTCACTCTAGCCTGGACAACAAAGTGAGACTCTGTCTCAAAAAAAAAAAAAAAGTCCCTAACCCCAGCCTGAAGATCTTCAAACCCAACCTTAGTGACCTGAAGCCAAGAACTCTTAGAGCACCCAAGCCCCTCCCCCGCCTATGGAAGATCAGGGTGCACTTGACCTTGTTTACCTCTTGTCCTGTGGTCTGCTCCTTGGGGGAGGGGCCCTGCCCCAGGGGGCCACAAACCTAGGACCCTGGGACCATGTGATTGATGGCTGGGGCCACCCCTCCTCCCTAAGCCACCTCCTTTCCTTTCTGGGGGGTCTCAAGCTGCCTCTGTCACTGGGGATTGGGGACCTACCAAGCCCTGCCTTCCTCCTGGCCTGGCTGCATCTTTGGAGCTGCCTGCCCCACCTGGCCTCTGGGGGGCCCTGGCCCCACCTCTCCCTGCCCCTGCCCCATCTTTGCCTCCAACCTGGGCCAGAGGATCAGGAGGGAGAAGAGGGCAACTCTGTTGTCTGCCGGGCTGGTGGCACTAGGCCGATTTTGTCCTTGAGGTGGCCAGGATGCAGAACAAAGCCAGCCCCCACCCAACCCCACCCCACCCCCGGTCCAGCTTAGGTCCTCTGCAGACCCTGCTGCTTCTGTGGCCTGGCCCTGTCCAGCCTGGCACCTTCCCTGTACCAGCTTCAAGGTGGAGCCAACTCTCAGGGCCTGGGACACTGCTTCCCAGGAGGGTCCCCAGCACCAGGCCTGGCCTCCTGGTGTCTGGCCCTGTGGCCCCTTGGGCAGGGGCACCAAGGCTGACCCTGAGGTGGTGGTGCTGCCGAGTCTGTCCTGCCTCTCTGGGGTGTGCTGGGAGGGTCACCAGGGCCCCTTTTTCTTTCTGTGCCCTCCAAAAGCCAAGCGTCTATGTGGCTCTGGAACCTGAGGGTCCAGGAATAAAGGCAAGTGGCACAGAGAAAAAAAAAAGTAAATACTCAGCAGAGACTTGCTCTTTTGCCTGTTTTGTTTACCAGTTCCTGCACATAATGGATGCTTGATAGGAATGAAAGGGGGGGCGGCGAATCCAGTCTGGGTGGAGGTTTAGCCAACAAGGGCTTCCTGAAGGAAGTGACACAGCTGAGCCTGCTGAGTCTGAAGTGGAGGGTGCATTCCAGGCACACCAGCCAGGAGAAGAACATGTTCAGGAGCCTTAAGAGGTGGTGTGGCTGGGGCCCAGGGTGCTTGTGTGCGGTGAGGGTGGACAGGCAGGCCTGGGCGGTGAGCAGGGGCTGGCATGTCTCCTCTGGAGAAAGGGAAGTCCAGGCTGGAGGCTGAGGGTCGGGTGGGGTGAGGCTGGCACAGGGCAGAGGAAGGAAGACCTAAGAGGCTGGGCCAGCGATAAGATCACTTACAATGTGAAAGTGACTAAGTCCAGACTGAGAAGAGCTATTCTTTACTGAGCACGTATTGTATCCAAGTGCTGTGCTAAGAGCTTCCAACACAATAGTTCACTGACCTTCACATCCAGCCACTATACTAGGAGGCACAGAAACAGGACAAAAAATGAGGGGACCCTCTACAAACCAACCAGTCTGGCTAATTAGGAAGGAAATTTTGGTGACCGTTGGGCTGAGCCATGGTAAGCAATCCTACCTCTACAGCCCTGAGACTCCCGTCCCCCACTCCACAGCAATCTCACCTCTTCCCTTCTTTCTTTGTACTCCATTGCTGCCGTCCTATAGGACACAGACTAAACAGGGACACCACCACCCCCAGCTGCAGGATTAACGTAATGTAGTAAGTCAAGAAGAATACAACACGAGAGAGGAGAGAGGCAGACAGATAGACAGACCAACCAAAGGGGAGGGGTGTGTGGTGTAGATGCTGCTCCTAATAGCTGATGAGAAGCTGCCTAGCAATGAGAGGGGACAGTCAGTGTGTTAAGGAAAGAGAGGTCTACCAATGTCAAGGCACAAACCAACAGTGAAACGTCACTAAAAATAGTCAGTGAGCTCTGAAAAGAGGGAACTTTGGCCAAGTTGGGGAAAATGTGTTCATTTCTCACTAAAGGACGAGGGCTGCAGTTGGATGAAACTGGTCAGAGAGGGTTGGGTAGGGTAGGGTATCTTCAAGTAAATGGGAGGTGTCAGATGGTCCCTGGGTAGGCATTAAGGAGGCAGAGGGGAGGCAGGCAGGGGGCAAGGCAGAAATAAGGACGTCTGCTGGAAATGGCTGGCAGAGTGGACTCTTTAGCCCCCAAGGATGTCTCCCACTGGCAGAGACCACCAAGGTACCTGACAGCCTGGTTTCCATCTCAGCCCCAGTCACAGTGGTATCAATTTCAACTGAAGAAATGGGAAGAATTGACTTCCCCTTTTCTACCAGGGCCTTTGGGAGAGTCCCTGTGTGACTGTACCTAAAAAATGAGGACAGAGCCACATGTGCCCACAGGTGGTGATACACGGGCACGCTGAGCACACTGCGAGAACTGCTACTGAACACGATCCCCAAAGACCAAAGCTACCTCATGGTAACAGCAACCCCAGTGGCTGGCATTTGCCTGCCACACCCCCGGAGCTCTCCAAGGGCAGCTATTCCTCATCCACTCTACTCTCGCCTCTGCTCAAAACCTTCTGAATTCACCTGCTGTCCTCTCACCACCTGTGCTCAGGACACTCCTGCCATCCTAAAGGGCTTTAGCCCCTGCTTCCATCTCTAAGTCCATTCCATCATCATCCCCCCTTCCAAAGCCCTGGCCCAAAGGTTCCCTAGCCAACTCAGTTCTATCAGTTCCTTTCTCTCCTAAACTTGCCCCCCGCCCCAGACACTCTTAGGATTGTTAAAGCCTAGTTTAAATCCTATATCTCATCTCATATCCCCTAAGTCAAACCTCGGGAGTGTGAGTGTGCCAAGTGGAAAGTCTCAATGAGTGAAAACCAGAAGACCTGTCCTTGTGACCCACTTTCTCTACACCCAGCCTTGATACTGATTAAAAAAACAACAAAAGACAAAAACAAAATGCAGCAGCAGGGCATGTTTAAAGATTTATTGAGTCGGGTGAGAGGACAAAGGTACACGGTGCCGAAAACCTCAACAGGAACTCTCGGTCCTCAAAAGTCACACCAGGAGTAGGCAGGAGGACATACAGGCTGGCCGAGACAAAAGACAAACAGTCTCCCCAGATCGTGGCGCTCTGTGGCATAACTGGGAGGGCAGAGCCAGCAGAAGGGTCTCCCGAACCCTGGACCTCAAGTCCCCAGAGTTGCAGGGCTTCCCCTCTGCAGAGCAAAACGTCGATCCATGTTATGCTGAGGCAACAGGGGCAAGGTCTGGCAACAGACGCGTCACGTGGCAATATCACTCATCACTCTGCTATGCCAGTGTCCATGATCAACTCTCAAATAATCTAAGGGAGAAGTCAAATGAGGCCAGCAGCCTGGAATTGCCATCTCAGAAACACAGGCTGACTTAGCCTCTTGGCGTTAACTCACCATGAGGAGGCCCCTCCAGGGGAGCTGGGACCCCCAGGCCATCATCCCAAGAGGGTCAGTGCCTCTAGCCCCTGGAGCTTCCTTCACAACCTGCAGATCCAAGGCAGCACCCTGGAGTGAAGAGAGGAGGCCACAGAGCAGGAGGTTACTATAAATACTTGGTCTCAAATAGTATGTCATCTTTCTTCAAGCTGATGTCAACGAGAATACCCCTGGTTAATCAGGTATGAGCTGTCAGGTTTTTTCACATCAAACTCATCTCAAAAAGAAATCTCAATGCTTCCAGAGAATAGTCAAAATAAAAACTGTCTTAAAAGTCTAAAACAAGCTGGGTGTTATGGCACACACCTGTAGTCCTAGCCACTCGGGAGGCCAAGGTGGGAGGATCGCTTGAGCCTGAGTCGGAGACTAGCCTGGGCAACACAGTGAAACCTTGTCACCCTGTCTCAAAAAAAATTATCTAACAGCCCCTTGCAGGGCAATGGAGCAGATGTCTAACAAGCAAAAAGACAGCCTGAGAGCTGGTTTTCAGGGCTCCTCCCACTGAAGTCCCACTATCCCTTGTTGGAAGCACAGAACCAACCCAGCAGCCATCCCTATGTGCTGTGCTTACCTGCCTACACATCTGTCTCCCCAGCAGCACTGGGAGCGTTTGCTCATTTCAGTCTCAAAGGTCTTTTCACATTGCTACCTCTCCCCAGAATAGCTTCCCATTGCCCATCACATCCCACTCCTTTAAAGGCCTGCCCAGAGCCACCACCTCCAATACGCCACTTCTCTTTGCAAATCTTATGGCAATGACTATATACCATCCAACATCACACTTACTTGTGAATAATAATAATAATTCATCTTGGCTCACACCTGTAATCGTAGCACTTTGGGAGGCCAAAGCAGGAGGATCACGTGGAGGCCAGGAGTTCGAGACCAGCCTGAGCAAGGACAAGATCCTCTCTCTATAAAAAATAGAAAACTGGCCGGGCGCGGTGGCTCACACCTGTAATCCTAGCACTCTGGGAGGCCGAGGTGGGTGGATTGCTCGAGGTCAGGAGTTCAAAACCAGCCTGAGCAAGAGCAAGACCCCGTCTCTACCATAAATAGAAAGAAATTAATTGGCCAACTAATATATATATAGAAAAAATTAGCTGGGCATGGTGGCACATGCCTGTAGTCCCCGCTAGTCGGGAGGCTGAGGCAGGAGGATCGCTCGAGCCCAGGAGTTTGAGGTTGCTGTGAGCTAGGCTGACGCCACGGCACTCACTACTCTAGCTTGGGCAACAAAGCGAGACTCTGTCTCAAAAAAAAAAAAAAAAAGTAGAAAACTTAGCCAGGTGTGGTGGTGTGCACCTGTAGTCCCAGCTACTTGGAAGACTGAGGCAGGAGGATCACTTGAGCCCAGGAGTTTGAGGCTGCAGTGAGCTATGATAACACCATTGCACTCTAGCCTAAAAGACAGAGTGAGATCCTTTCTCTTAAAAAAGAAAAAATATTAATCTTGGCTCTTTCCACCACCGAAAATGTACCTAAACCTTGACACTGACATAGCCTGGAGAAAGGCCAAGGTGAAGCATCTCCCACCACTGACTCTCACACATAGCCTGCAATGCCCATGAGACCAGGTGTTCACAGGAGGGAAGGAGTGTGTGAAAGCGCCAGCATTTGAAAGGGATAGGTGTGAACCCTCCAAACACGGGAAACGGCTTTCAGCAATTCCTCTCCCTGCATTACTGATGACCAGGGCACAGGCAGCCCGTGATCACTTTTGAATGCAGGTGCACACAAGGGCAGAGAGAGAACAGGAAGAAAAGCAGATGCCAGTGACCTGTGGAATAGGTTGAGTCCAGGAAAACAACCCAGGCAAGCACAGGATCCCAACAGTAGCCCTTGTTTCCTGAAAAAGCCCCATAAAACCTCCCTGCCACAAGGAATCAGAGAGAAGTCACATTGTACAAGAACACTGAAAAAATATTAGGTTTGGCAAAGATAGGAATCATGTGGTCTAAAGTACCACAAAAGTCACCTCTATCATGACTTTCTTTTTTTTTTTTTTTTGAGACAGAGTCTCACTTTTGTTGCCCAGGCTAGAGTGCCATGGCGTCAGCTTAGCTCACAGCAACCTCAAACTCCTGGGCTCAAGAGATCCTTTTGCCTTAGCCTCCCGAGTAGCTGGGATTACAGGCATGCTCCACCATGCCTGGCAAATTTTTTATATATATACGTGTTTAGTTGGCCAATTAATTTCTTTCTATTTATAGTAGAGACAGGGTCTCACTCTTGCTCAGGCTGGTTTTGAACTCTTGACCTTGAGCAATCCACCCTCTTCAGCCTCCCAGAGTGCTAAGATTACAGGTATGAGCCATTGCGCCTGGCTTTTTCTTTTTCTTTTAAATCCACATTAGCAAGTGAAAACAACTTTTTCTTTTTCTTTTTCTGAGACAGAGTCTCACTTTATTGCTCTGAGTGCCATGGCATCAGCCTAGCTCACTGCAACCTCAAACTCCTGGGCTCAAGTGATCCTCATGCCTCAGCCTCTTGAATAGTTGGGACTACAGGCACACACCACCACATCTGGCCAATTTTTTCTATTTTTAGTTGCCTGGCTAAATTTTTTTCTATTTTTAGTAGAGACTGGGTCTCACTCTTGCTTAGGCTGGTCTCAAAGTCCTGAGCTCAAGTGATCCTTCCACTTCAGCCTCCCAGAGTGCTAGGATTATAGGCATGAGCCACTGTGCCCAGCCCAACTTTATTTTTCAAATGAAGAAAATTAAGTTCTAGATTGGTCACTGACTAAGAGAGTGTCAGAGGGGGATTCAAAGCCAGGGACCAGAGTCTCTGTTGCTAGATCTATCCATTTTCCATTATAACATGCTCCTGGCTAACATCCAGGGAGAGTTGGCAAATACCCAGGCACCTCTCATTACCCAAGTGGGACTCTGGAGGTTTCTCCCCTACAGCAGCCACTGAACACTGAAGAAATGAGAAGGGCCAGAGGTGATCTAGGTCGGCTGGGGTGGGCAGTGGATCTGGGGACCCATGGTGCCACCTTCATCTCACCTCTCAGCTCCCCTGTGTCATCACCCAAAGCCCCTGGGAACATGTACAGGGCTGTACTAGATGCAAGGAACTAACACTCCAGAAATGGACCAGAGACCTTACCTCAAGGACACTGAGGTCTAGAATGTTCCTAACATGACAACTCCCATGATGCCTCTGCACACAGTGGGCTCATCTGCAATAGACAAGAAGCCATGAATGAGTAGCCGGCTGTCCCTGCTCATGGTGGGGCATGGTAGTTATCAGACAGTAAGCATTCCACAAATGTTGGCTGTTATTATTTCCTGAGCAAACATACTACTTCCTCATGAAAAATAAAGGAGTTAACTCTAAAGAGTAGGCAGTGGATGGTCTGTGGCAGGGTGGCCAACATTTACCTAATCAAGAGCAGGCTGAAAAGGATGCCAGAGCCAAGTTTACAGGAGTGTGCCATGGCTGACTGGCAGCGACTCTGCTGGTCGTCAGGGGGAACTTAAGCAATACACATAGCCTGGTCCCAACAGCAGGGAGCAGGAAGTAAAAGCCCCAGTGATAACAACAACACACATGGCAGCCCCCTAAACCCTGGAGGCCCTGAGATGTGTGCAGAATTGAAAAGCAGGAGTAGGGGAAAGTCCCGGAACAGGAAGGTGAGGCTGTTGACCCTCCAACACAGGGCAACCCTTCCCACATTTCTTCTGCCTGCACTACCAGTGACCAGGACATGGGCAGACCATGATCACTTACGAATGCATGGGCAAAAAATGGCAGAAAGTGAGCCAGGAACAGAGGCCAAAATTAGCAGCCAGCAGACTCTCCAAGCACCAAACCCAAAAGACCCTGAAAGCTGTCACTTTTTAATACAGCATAACAATACCATCTGCCCCCATCAACAGAGTGCACAGCAAGACCAACTTCTGGTAAAAACGTCTAAATTGTTCATTCACCCCACAAATTCTCAGTATCTACATGTAGCCAGGCAATGTGGGTTCAAAAACAAGAACAGTCAAGGTCTCTGCCCTAACATTTTGCAGCTTCCCTACTTTACAGGAAGTCAAGCTCAGGGGAATGAAGTAACTTAGCCAGGATGTGACCTGCAAACCCAGCCCCGCATCTGCTACACGGCGCTTCCTCCTGCACCAGGGCCTTCCAGACAGGCCTCAGAGGCGGGCTGAGCTCCATGACCACCCTGTCTGCTGGGGCCAGCAGGAGGCAACCCGGAAGGCACCCCCGTCTTCCTTTAAGGTGCTCATGAGCAGCAGCACATACCCGGGGACATCCTCCCACGCAGGACAGCCGGCGCCCAGCAGGGCGTGCCGATCAGGGTGCTGCAGGAGATGAGGGGGCGCTGGCTGCTGCAGAACCAGCAAAGCCGACCAGGGGAGCGTTTTCATCTGTCTCCAGGAGGGCCGCAGAGCTCAAAAGGCCTAGGCAGAGAAAAAGCACGGGGAAGGGGCTGTAGTACAAGGCCGGGGACAGGGGTCCACACTCTGCCCTCTGGGACCCAGGGATTTAAATTTCAGCCAAATGGTCTGTAGAACGAGGTTTTAGCACTTTTAAAGGTTACTGAGGATAAACGCGTTAACAATCATAAGGACTTGGCATAATGACTGACACTTTGTAGGCAACCGCCCACAGACAAGCGGTTTGGGGGAGGGGTTCCGATGCCAGGAGTCGAGGTCAGGGGCAGGGGCGTGAAAGTCACCGGGGCTCTGGCGCCCCTCGGCCCGGGTTCAGGGCCCCGGGCACAGCGTCGCCGGGCCCGCTTCTCGTCACCGATGGGCACTAAGCCTTCCGCAAGGAGGCTGGACGGAGAGGGCAGCTGGGCGGACAGGGGTCCTGAGCCCCAAGGGCCTGGCTCACCCAGGCGGCGGCCAGGGCGCAGCTCACCGGCCAGTCTCTTTCCCGAGGACACGCGAATCCAGAAGGGCCCACCCTGGCGGAGGGACGCAGCACTGCACCAGGGCCCGGGCCTGTTCCTGTTCCCCCTGCGGCCTCAGTTTCTCCTTTTCTAGGGGAAGAGGGGACGCAGAACGAGCCTTGGGAAGCCGCCGCGGGTTCCCGGGCAGATCAGGCCTCGAGCGCGGCCCCTCAGTGACCCACCCGGGGCCGCGGGCCCGACGGCGGAGAGTACAGAGGGCGCCGTGCGGGGAGGCGGAGGAAGCCGCAGGCCCCAACCGCACCCTCAGGAAGATCTGTCCACGGCTCCCGGTCGGCGGAAGCGTGCCGGCGCGCGGGCTGCAGCCTAGAGCGGCGCCTGCGCCCGGCGGAACCCGCGCCGGCGCTCCTGCCTGCTGCGCCCCCTGGCGGAGCGGGGCAGAAATCCATCCAAGCCTCCATCCATCAAGCATCTCTTGATCCTGAGTCCCACCACCTGCACCTCCACTTTACCCGGGACATACTTAATGGAACTTCAGCTTCCTCATCCCTCCAATTATTCACTCATCCTTCCATCGGGCCATTCAAATATTCATCCATCCATCCATCCATCCATCCACTCATCTCATAAAGCTATGCATCTAGACTCCCATCCATCCAGAAAATCTATTGAGTAACCATTTCCTATCAGGGACTGGACTAAGTATTTGAACTATAACAAAGAAGACAGACCTGATCCCTGACTTTACGTTGGTTACATTCCAGTGGGAATAATAACCAGTGAGCCAGAAAATGCAGTAATTAAAATTCATAGTGAGCGGTTCACCGCCTCTCCCACTGCCCAGTGAGCTGCAGCAGCTCAGGCGCGGAGAACAGGGCCAGCCCAGCAGTGGCGGCAGGGGGCCTGGGGCTGCAGCTGCGGCCGGGGGCCAGGACCCCAGTCTGTCTAGCGGGATTTGCGTACGTGAGGCCCTGGTGCCCACTGCGCCCCTGGTGGGCTTCTCGATAGAGCCAGGGGTTTGCACACCTGCGATCCCAGATGCACGGACTGGTGGCTACCTGAACGCTGCTGGCTTTGAGGCCTCGGACCCACGCTCAGTTCGGATCATCTCCCCAGCTGCCCAGAAATGCAGCTCGGATATTGCCACCGGTGCCCTACAACCCTGCAAAACGAAGGGCAGAGGCTCCGGCAGCTCTGGGAGCCAGAGCAAAGGACCACAGTGCGCTCTGCGTACGCGGGACTTTGACTGCTGCCCTCAGCAAGGATGGCATCAGCGTCACGGAGCCCCACTGCTTCGCCTGAGCCACCCAGCCTGAATATACTTGTCTCCCTCCATGTCCCCACACCAGCTTGTTTTCATAATACACTTTATTGTGACCAAAAAATAAAAATCGTAATAAGTGCTACGAAGGAAATGGGTATGGTGATATGAGGACAGTAACTGTGAGACCTAGTTAGCCAAGATGAGCCCAATAGAGCAAGGGCCACTCAGGGAAAAGTCATTTAACCTAAAACCTGATGGAGGAGAAGGAGCCAGTCATGAGAAGATTAGCAGATTATATTCCAGAGTATATGTAAAAGGTAAAACAATGTGAATAAAGTTCATAGAAGCAAGTTAACAATGTTTTTCATGATATGTCACTACAATGCCTGCCAGCAATGCTGCAGGAGAGTACAATTATAATGTTAAATAATGACTAATATTTTTTGAGCACACATAATATTTCAGACACTTTGATCCATTTAATCATCATATCAATTGTTATGGACTGAATGCTTGTGTTGCCCCAAAATTCATATGTTTAAACCCTGCGTCCTGTTGAGATGGTATTGAGAAGTGTGGTCTTTGGGAAGTAATTAGGATTAGATGAGGTCGTGAGGGTGGAGCCCTTGTGAATGAGATTAGAGTCCTTATAAGAGTCCCTAAAGAGCTTTCTTCCCCCTTCTGCCATTTGAGGACACAGTGACAAGACAGCCATCAGTCTACAAGCCAGGAAGAAAGCCCCCATCAGACACCAAACCTAGTGGTGGCTTGATCTCGGACTCCCAGCCTCCAGAACTGGGGAAACAAATTTCTGTTGTTCATAAGCCATCTGGTTTATGGCACTTCATTACAGTGGTCCAAATGGACTAAGACACCAATCCTGTAATGTAAACATTATTATTATCCCTTTTGCCAATGAGGAAATAAAAGTTCAGAAAGTAGAATTAACTTGTCCTAGGTCATGCAGTCAATGCGTCAGGATCTGGGCATGGTCTGAGAGTTAACCCTACTTGGGAGATGACAAGTTAGCCTGTTCCTGTCTCATGGATGCTGGTGGAGGACAGGAAATTCCTAAGTCAGAGTCTGAGGACTTTATTGTTCACGGCAAAATCAGTGGACAGGCATTCAAGTTCATATAGGTTCCCCATGCCTCACAAGTCCCATGGGAGTGGCATGATGCCAGTGATGAATGCCTGCACACAGGGTGTGTTACAGGAGAGGAACACTGAGCTTGGGGGAGCCCCCATTTTTATAATGAACAGCGTAAGCCTACTTTTAGCCTGGGGGGAGACTTCACCTTATCTCACAAGGTTGCTGGTTGCAAAACACAGCCTTTAGAAAGTTCCCAGCTAGAGAGCGGTCAGAGCCTTGCTTTCTTGGCATGCCCGGCGAGAATGTGCATAGATGCTCAGGGCTGGTGGCAGATTGCCTCTCGCAACAGTAGGCATCAGAGTCAGAATTCAAACCCAGAAAGCAGTCTAAGAGCAATTGAACAGATGCTTGAAAAGGTGTTTCATAATATTTAATTTCTATTATTGATCAGAAAAGTGTATTTTAGAATACTTGGACTAAAAGGATATTTTCATCATATCATACAGACCATCATCAATCAACAGCATTATATTTAAAGATGAACTTTATGGCAACAGACTGTCTAATATCACACAAATCCGAATGTTAAATGGCCAAGACATCTGTGGTTTTGACCTATTCACTCCTCTCCCATTGTCAGACTAACACACTGCTATAGACACTGTTCGTGTCCCTTCTAAAATTCCTTGGTTGAAACCTAATCCCCAAGGCGATGGTATTCGGAGGTGATTAGATCATGAAGATGGAGCCCTCATGAATGGGGTTGGTGCCCTTATAAAAGAGGCCCCAGGGAACTCCCCTCTGCCACATAAGGACACATTCAGAAGATGGCCAGCTACGAACCAGGAAGTGTGTCCTCAGTGGACACTGACTTTAGTGGTGTCTTGATCTCAGACTTCCCAGTTTCCAGATTCTGAGAAGTAAATGTTGTTAAAGCCACCCAGTCTATGGTATTCTTGTTAAGGTAGCCTGAACAGGTTAAGACAGATCCTGATTTCCTTGTGGCATCCATTCTTCCTGTTGAATTCAATCTTGTCGAGAATAGAGAATGTCAACGATGGCATCCTGCCCTCCCCTGACAGTGGGTGGGCATGGGATCCAAGCTGGGGGAATTGTACTTTCTTCCTTGTATTTGTGTCTTGAGTGTGGGGAAGCCTGGATCCTAAAGAACCTAGCTGTGGGGGCATGAGTGGGGTCCACCCTCGGGCAAGACCTAACATCCTAGAAGCCTTTCCTCCTGCCCCAGTCCCCCCTTTCCTCGCCTTGGCCCATGAGATGTGAGACTTATCACATCTCATCATAATGATTGGTTTGCTGGCCTCTTTCTTCCTCTCTGCCTGGGAGCTTGAATGCTGAGAGTCTTGCCTCTTGGTATGCCAAGTGTTTGGTGTTTAGTAACTCTAGAACCAATGAGAGGAAAAGGAGAGAGAGCCATGCTGCCCCGGGGATGGGAAAGATTCCACTCCTTTTCCTCCCCTTGCAAGTTTTCTTGCTCCAGTGACACAATTCATTAGAGCCTGCCTCGAGTCCTGCCATGGGAAGCTACTTGGCATGGGATGGACCCACCAGGGACAGATTTTTTCCCTCTGGCCTTTGAGATGGCAGGGACCAGAGCAGCAAAATGTGGGCAGAGCGGCATCGAATCAAGGCACTTATGAACACAGCCCTCACACAGCAGCTGCAGGCCTGAGGCCCTCCTACCTCCCAGCACCCTTCCCGGGTCCATGCTACCTGCTACCCATCAGCGCCCTCCCATGAACCTGACCTTTACTAACTATCACTGAGCAACAATGTACTGATCAGAGTTGGTCAGCCCACCCACCAGTCACTGCCTCCCTCTTTAGAGCTAACTACCTTCCTTTTTCACGAGAAAACACAACTTCCGTTTGGGTAATAGTAAGAGTGAATGTTTGAGGATTGCTTACAACCTAGCGGGTACAGTGCCAGTTGCTTTCCCTGTGCCACCAGGCCCTGCTGTGAGCTGGGGTAGGTCAGCTGCTCAGCCACGGCTTCCTTGTCTGTTGGTGAACTGTCCTTGTGTGCAGAGACTCCGTAGGAATTGCCATGGTTGTGTCAGGAGGACACTGGACCCCCACGTCCTTGAGTAAAAGCCACAGTCCATTATCTAGAGTGTGAGTCAGTTCCTCGGTGTGGCCCACTGGTCTGCGTGGGGCAGCCGGTCCACCGGAATGCAGGGCCTGGAAGGTGTCTCAAAAACTACTGTTAGGTTTCACAGGGGTGGTGTTATCTATGGGAGCAATGAAGAAAGCTAAGATCTTTATGACCATCTGCCATGTGACTCCTGAGTAGTGAGCAGGCATAGGAAAGAAAGCCAGGGAGCAATGGCTGGTTACACACACACACACACACACACACACACACACACACACACAGACTTGCTGGACAGGGCTTGCCTGGTGAGCTCACCCAGGAAGAGTGGGGACTCAGCCAAGCATCCCAAGCACAGAGACCCTGAAAGGTGACAGGCACATGCTCAACACCTCCCAACCCACCCTCAGGACAAGTTAGATGAAGGACTTTAGAGATGGGTGATTCCTCCTAGAGCTTTGAAAAGGGGGGAAGCCCATATCTTTGGCCCAGAAGGCAATTTTGAGTGTCAGAGTTTGTGTAGTTAAGGGCATCATTTCTCAGAAAGCCTCCCTGTTGCTTACAAACCTTTCTCTCTTTTTTTAATGCCCTGTACAAGTTTCAGTGTCATAGGTTTAAAGTCTTTTGCTTGACCTCAAGTAGCTTGGGGAAAAAAATTCCCCGAAAGTGTTGCCCTTCAGAGTCATTTTCAAAGATTTGTTGTATTAGAAAGATCATCATTTAAGGGTTAGGTGGTGCAACATAGGGTCACCTTGTTGCACCAGAGAATGTGTTAGGAAAATATCTTCTTTTCTTCAGGTCAAGTGCTTTTTGTGTCATTAACTCAGCCAAGCATCCTCAGCATCTCTGCTTCTCAACTGTAGACTAGGATGTAAATG